TCGCCTTTAGTCCTTCTGCTCGCCGTCTTGTCCGTGGGCAATCCTAATCGATGGATTGTCGCCGCCGTGGCGGAGGCTCTTCGTCCGCCCCCGCACCCGTTCGTTCGTCCCACCTGCCAGGCGGGCCCGTCTATTTCTGGAACTGAGGGTCGATTCATGTTCGGATATGGCCCACTGTTCTCTGTCTCGCATCATGGGTGATTCGACCTGAAGCACAAGCCATTGATATGTGCGCATCCCCGTGCCTGGAGCACCTGTCAACTATGCATACCACTGCATTGCGTACTCGAGCCTCGGAACCCGTCTGATCTGTTCGTAGAAATGCGCACGCATTGAATCCTCCATTTCATCCGACGGCTCCCTGGTACCGTACAGTTCTTGATACCATCCAGTCACGATATAAGTGATGCAAATCTTGATTGGGCTTATGTCGGTCAATCGTGATTTAAAACAAATCTCGACATTTCCAGCGTTGTCCATATTCAGACCTGACAGAGCACTAAACACACATTGCGCGCATCATTTCTCGGTCAGTGAGAGGTCGTCCATCAATATGACAGGAATGCTCCATGCGGTTAATTTGTGAAATGAAATGAGCATGCTGCACCGACAGATGTTGGCTACGCTTCATCTTGGCAAATGTCATGCATATTCGTTGCGATCATCATGTCAAGACGCATCATTGGCCCGGAGTCCCTAAGGTTTTCCTTCGGCACGTCGGGTTCCATGGCTTCAGTGACCCACTTCTGCGCCGCCTTAACGTCATGCCATGATCCAGCTACCGCTCTGATGCAACGCTGCTTCCATTCACGGAGTGTCTGGACACTCGGTCTGTTCTGCAAGTTTAGCTCATGATTGTTTCCAAGACTCCTCCGATTCACATCCACTCGGTCGGCATTAGACGGCTACCAGGCTGTGTCATGATGGCCATTCGGCCCCCGCCGCTGTCTCCGTCTGGGTCACCGCCGCCACCGAGTCCCCCTGGGGGGCCTTTGGGCGGCTTGGGCTTACCTGTCTCGTCAAAATGTATTGCAACGATCATGTCCGTGCTGGGGGCTGTGCTCTGGCCATCTTCGCGCCCTCCCGGATCTCCACCCCCTTTCACCAGCCACGGCTGGTCAGGAGGCCGTGGAATCTTGCTTTTAGAAGGGACATTTCCCAAGATGCACCCCCTGAACATACTCCCGCATTGAACCTTCGCTCGTTCCAAGAGACTTCTCGATAGCCGGCCCAGGAACCAAACGCGATTTTGCGAGAGGAAGCGCGGGTATAGACGGAGCGCTCAGCATTGGCATTCCATCGAAGTCCGACTCGTCTGATTTGAATGCCAGCACGCCCACGAGATGGGCGAGATGGGGGGGGAGGAGGACTTTGCCAACAGGCGGGCGCCTACTCTTTTGTTGCTACGCTTAGCCGCCCTCTTCAACCTTCTCTTGCCGCAGCGCCCGCCAGGTGTGCCAAGTCGGCCGTCAGATTCATTGCTTGTCTTGCGTTCTGGTCCAACATCCTTAGGCAAATCCGAATGTCTCGGTGCTTTCTCATCAGTATCATTGTTGGCACGGTGAGCATCAGGGATGCCTTGCGGCTCTCCCCCTTTCTCGAGACCATCCCGTTGTCCAAACTCCATCGACTAGGCGCGCTCAGTGCACCGTTTGGCACCCATGTCCAGGCGGCCCCTACACGTGCGTTTTGAACGACCCATGCATACACCTATTGAAGATTCGTTGCGAAGGTGACAGATCTGACTCGGATTGCCCGTTCTTGTCTGAGCTTGCACGCTGTCAAGTTTGCGAGCGGGGCGAACAGCAGCCGGATGGGGGGGCGGCTCAACAGGCATCGGCCGTGCCGGCGTCGATCCGAACTTTTCCTTGGAGCCCAGTTCCGCCGGCAAAACGGCAGTCGCAGGCCCTACTCTTGACAGGACTTCTGCCGCGGGCTGCCCTGATAACCAGACTACATCCCGCGATCCTTTGTCCATCCGATGTTGCTCCAAAGACCTCAACCCCCTGCATTTCCCACTCACGGCCCGGGTGGCAAGAACGCTGTTTCTTATTTGTTCGTCTGCGTGCCCTTTCAGACGATCCAAGGTAGCGGCCGCCCTCTATTGATCCTCATGTCTCATTACCTGAGCCTGCCTGCCCTTCGTTTCGAAGGGCTCGCAGTGCTTCCGAATGTACTCTTCCAGCCTCGAGTCTAGCAGCTCCAAGTTGATTGCGGAGCACCTGGTTTTCTCGCGCTGCTTGTTCTCGGGCTCCTTTTTTCCTCCCCCATGGCGGCATCAGCAATATCCCTGTACTTAGCTTTCTCTCTCTCTCTCTCTCTCTCTCTCTCTCTCTCTCTCTCTCTCTCTCTCTCTCTCTCTCTCTTTCTCTCTCTCTCTCTCTCTCTCTCTCTCTCTCTCTCTCTCTCTCTCTCTCTCTCTCTCTCTCTCTCTCTCTCTCTCTCTCTCTCTCTCTCTCCCTCCCTCTCTCTCAGCCTTCTGCTGGGAGTCTGACACCAGTTGTTCAGCCGTACTCTGGCCCCTTAGTCTTTCATTCTCCTCTTGAGCGAGGCGCCGCTGAGCTTCGCCTGTAACTCCTGCTACACTGGCCTCAGCCTGCTGCATCCGTTTCTGCGCATCTTCCACTATGACATTTTTCACATGTCCCACCTGCTCTGCCATTGCTCGCCTCTGCCTCGGATATTGCAAGCATGCGTTTAGACCCCTCAGCGGCCTTCGCATCTACCTGTGCCTCAAGGATGATCTGCTGAATGTGCACCCGCAGCTCTCAATCGTTCTCGATGCTGTCTTTGTCTTTCCTCCCACTCTTGAATGGCGATGCGATAACAATTGTGCTCTCCCATCGTAATACATTCCTCGCCAAGCCAAGCTAGATTACACATAGGACAAACATTCGAGCACTGCGAGCACACAGGCCCTCGACATGACCCCCCCGGTTTGCGCGCCTTCCCCGGGCATCGATTTTCCGCCTGAGTCGGACACGTAGGCCTAGCACTCCAGCAACTTTCCCGCGTCGAGAAGCTGCCGGTGGCTCTATTCGACAACAATCGTGGCGATGCAAGGGCGTCGAACCCCCTAGAACTGGAACGCCCGGCCCTGGGGACCTTGCTGGAACGACCTCGCGCACTGCTGGCCCCTTGTTCTTACACCCCTGTTACTAGAATCAACGTCTCGCTTCGGTGCTGTTTCGTCTCTTTCGCCCTGCATTACGAGCTCGTCAAGCTCTGGTACTCTGTCCCTGTTAGTCCAGGGCAATGCGAAGTCTGGACGGTGAAAACCTTGCAGTAAAGGTGAAGAGTTTAAATCATCATTCTCACCCTTCGGCTTCTTTGTCATCGGACGGGGAGCCATGCCTGTAGATTATCGCGCGTTCCATATTATACGCACAACATCGGGAGAGCTCGATATTGGCTGTGCCGACGAGCATCTGCCTCTGTCGGGGCTTTCTCCGTCCTCGAGATCACCGTCCGAATCAAGAATGGCCCTCTGGATCGCCTCAACCGTGACATGATCAACTGTCATGGTTACTAACGGGTCAGCGCCTGAGGCGAGCCCATCCATCCATACGGGAGACGATCGAGATGATGCGATGGACCGGGCGAAGTATGAATGTGTGCATATTCTTCGTTGTTTTCAATTGAGTGCGAACTGTCCCTTTCCGATTGCAAGTCAATCACTTCCTCGCTCTGTCCATGCAACTCGAACTGAGCTGCGCGTTCTAGGCCAGGGTTCTCAACACCTGCCATTCCTATGGGGACTTGATCCAACAATTTCTCCATCTCGAGATCTAGGTCAGCCGGCGGCTGGGAGCCCCGATGCGCCAACGCCAAACCAGACGTTCCTTCGGCGGAAGTCTTGGCTGTGCCAGACCTTCCGCCTGAGATTTGTGCTCTAGACCTGGTCGCCGAATCAACCGAGGAATCCCCTTCTGTCAAGTCAAACACAGTCTCTGATGCATGCCTTCTGGGAAGATCAAGAGAGCTTGGTCGCCTCGTAGAGGCGGCCACACCTTCGTCACGTTCGGGAAGGTATAGATCTTCTGTTCGCCCGAGCGCTCCTTCCTGTGGTCCCATGCTCTGCGAAGCCTACGGCTGTGCCGTCGTTTCGGCTGATAACAAGTCTTTGGCCTGGATAATCATAATCCCTGCAAGATGTCCCGTTGATATATCATGGTCAGTGGGCTTCGCCGATGACATGGGGAAGGAGAAATGATAATGCCGTCAAGCATACACTTGAATAACATTGAAGGGAGCAGGCCGGCCAGCTGGCCAGCTGGCCGACGCACGCGCGCGCCGCAGGCTCGCTCCTTTCCCGTTTCCCGAGAGCCAAAGTGTAGCTGCAGGAGAGAAGCGGTCAGTACAGCAGACAGTGCATGCAAGATAAACAAGCTAGATGGGCAAGAGGATGGTGGTGCGGAAGGAGTGCATTGACTACTTCCTCGAATGCCTGGCATACGGCAAGTGGTGCAGAGCACGAACGGACGAGTTGCTGGAGAGGACGCGGCCCATCGGAGAGTCCCCGCGCGCGCAAGATAGGGCAGAAAACCCGTCAGATGCGCCATTATTCTACGCTTGCCACTCCCGATTGGAGCCTCCGTGCCCACTACCTGCCTGTTCGCCCGTGTGAGCTGCCTGCTCTCGCCCTTCTGCTGTAGAAGTGCCTGCTGAGCCTCATAGGCGAAAAGGTGTGAGAAAGACGTGATGAATAGCGTCCCTGCCGTGATCAGCTCAGCATGACATGCTGTAGGGCGCCCCTTTTTGGGTTCAAGGGGGAAGACACTGACAAATCCTTCCACTGCCCCCTCCCAGGGCACTGAGAGGCGGGCGTGGAAAGGCGAAGCGAAAAGGCGAAGTGAAGCGCCGAAACGAAAATGCGGAATGAAGAAAAGGAAACGAAGGGCTGGAAATGAGAAAATGACAAGCTGCGAGGCCCTGGGGGAGGGAGAGGAGGAGAGCGGGGGTCGGGAACCAGCCCCGCCCGCGCGCCCCGCGTCCGTGTCCTGGTCCGAAGGCCGTACCGGCGGCGGCGGCGGCGTCCGCGTGGCCGCCGACCGGTCCAGCGGGAGGGGCGGCGGCTGCGGGCTGAACCCCGAGCCGAGCCTGGGCGCATCCTGGCGGAGGGGCCGGGCGCGAGCGGGGAGGGCGCAGGGCACTCGCCGCGGGCCTAAGTCAAAATTCCCCGACGGCGGCAGCGGCCAGCGCCGGAGCGCCCGCGCGCTCCCCCTCTGAGCCCTCCCTGTAGCCAATCCCGCCCTCGCCTCTTTTTCGGCGCCCTGATCACACGCCCCCCGAAAGTGAAACAAGAATGTGGCCCGCTCTGGGATGAGAGTACCATTTTGAAGCTCCTCATCAACATCCTTTCCTCCTCCTCCTCCTCCTCCTTCTCCCCTCCTCCTCCTCCTCCTCCTCCTCCTCCTCATCATCATCTCATCATCATCATCATCATCATCATCATCATCATCATCATCATCATCATCATCATCATCATCATCATCATCATCATCATCATCATCATCATCATCATCATCATCATCATCATCATCATCATCATCATCATCATCATCATCAGCATCAGCATCAGCATCAGCATCAGCATCATCATGAGCATCATCATCATCATCATCATCATCATCAACATCATCATCATCATTATCATTATCATCATCATCATCATCATCATCATCATCAGCATCAGCACCATCATCAGCATCATCAGCATCATCATCATCATCATCATCATCATCATCATGGTCGACAGCCATCCTGGTCACCTTCATCTTCGTCGTCGAGCCGTTCGGCGAAGGAAGGGGAGAAGCAGGGGAGATGTTTTGGGATTTCGACGCCGATTAAGCTGTGAGCCTGTCAGCAGAGGCTGGCACGCTACTGGAGTAACATTCGTCAAGCTAGAGACTCTGCACGGGCACCGAGGAGCTCTCAGAGCAGGGGCGGAGCGAGGGGGGAAGATAGGGAGGGGGAGGAGGAGCTTCCTCTAGCGACGGACACGTCTCGAAATTCATAGATTGCATTCGGTCCCAATGAGTAGCAATCCCAGACGTCAATATACTTCCCCCGTGCACTGTGATCCCGCATTATTATAAATACTTTCTATGTTGGAATATCTAGTCTGCTCTGCTGTCTACCCTCTACGCTCGAGTATCTTCCTACTCATACTTCTCTGCTCCGTAAACACCGTCAAATCCTCTGATCTGACACATGGGGCTGTCATGACCACTGAACATATCGTACCCTTTATGGAACCACATGTCCGATTCTTATTAGATTTGAACTACTCAGCAAACACCCGATTATGCTCATCCTCCTCCTCCTCCTCCTCCTCCTCCTCCTCCTCCTCCTCCTCCTCCTCCCTCTTCTGGGTGCGACCCTATGAACGGAAAAGAATATGTTAAAACTTACGGGTGGAACCCTCGGAGCGACCAGGTGGCTGCTCGCCCTGACCCCCAGTCGCTGGGCATCCGCCGTGGAGAGACTGAGAAATTAGAAAACTATTGTTTTTGCGTTTCGTCGAAGTGTTCTCTATGAGCGTCATGTGCTGACAAAGACTTTCGACAATAATACGGCTGCCAATTATTTTGATCGATTCCCATTGCCTTCAGCTGTTTTCAACGGTGTCAAATGAATTTCAAGTGTTTGAAATGCGATTACACCTGTTTCCATAGATTGCATATGATCGAGCTGTTTCCCGATGAAGGTATATGAACGTTGCTTTTCAACCGCAGTCAACGACTTTCGATGCCCATCATTGCTCCTTGTTGCTTGTACTGTGTTTGCTGTTGTTTTGCTGCACATTCCAAGCCCGTCCCCCGAAATGCCGCACGAACTTCCTTGAAGATCCCTGCAAGTTCCCCAGAGCAAATCTGCGCAAGTTCCCCAGAAGTTCCTCGTAAGTTGCCCCAGGCATGCGCATGATTATGTTGAAACAGCTGGAAATACTCCAAATGAAAGCTAAACAAAAAAATCACCGAAAACCAAAGAAAAGTACTCTGCTCAATTGAAACGCATTGAACAAAAGTGAAAACACATGAGAGCCATTGAAACTCTTAGAAAACAACTGACGACAATTGCAAATCACGGGGGGGAACCATGAAAACAGTAGAAAACATTGGGAATATCTTTGAATGATAGAGCATCGTTGCAAAGAAATGAGAGCCAATGAAAACAATTGGAAACAACTGAAAGTGCTTGGAAACCATGGACTGAAAACATTGAACCACGTTGAAGCCAACGAAAAGCAGTGGGACTCAACATTGAAAACCTCGAAAATCACTTGAAATTCAGATTTACAGGAGGAAGAAAGCAACAAACAAACAAAACAAAACTGCGAGCATCGAAAGACAGAACATCTTTACGTGACAGCAGTCAACACCCTGTTGGGCAACTGCAAATCGGATCATCGCATGTAGAGACAGCGTGGTGTCATGGGCCCTCTTGAAGCCTTCTAGGGGAAAGGGTTTAAGGTCTGGCCCGACCTTGAGAACAAAACCTGCAGCCCTACTCATCGCGCCCCTCTTGAGGCTACATTGGGGTTCTCTTACGGACATGTTGGGCCCTTGTCGGGGGCAAGGTTTGAGGTGCGCCTCCGACTCTGGGAACCAGACCTTCGACAAGCCTGAGACCATCTCCGCCCCAGGCCCCGTCTTGGGTTTCTCTTGGGGCCATGTTGGGGCCCTATTGGAGCCGCTTGGGGCCTTCTTGGGAATATGGTTTGTGGTCTGGCTTCCGACCTTGGGAGCCAGACTTTCAACCCTGCATCTCGGACCCCTCTTGGGGCCCTCTAAGGGCCCTCTTGGAACCTCTTGGAGCCTATTGGGTCACCTCGGGGGTGCGATTTCAGGTCTGGCCCCGTGGGAACCAAATCTAAAGCTCTACGCAGCGTGCACCGTGTTGGGGCTCTGTTGGGGCCCTTTGGGGGGCACTCTTGGCGCCCCTGGCAGCTTCATTGGGCGAAAAGCTCGAAGGTCGGGGGGGCACCCAGGGCCTCGTAGGGCAGACAGACGGAACCCAGACAGAGGGCCGCACAGGGACCCTCTGCAGGACAACAGCGGGATTGGCCAGGCTGAAAAATTAGAACCTGCAGCGATGGCACGCCGAGGCGGTGGGGGAGGAGGAGGACAAGAACGAGGAGGAGGAGGAGGAGGAGGACGAGGACTGGGCTGGGGTGGACCATATGGGGATCACAAGTAAAACCCTGGGCAGCAACCCAAGAACTGCAACCAGCGAAGGTACTCGTCTCTTGTACAGGAATCTCGGACAACAAGGGTTCGTGCTAAACCCGAAAAGAACATTACAAAAAGCACGAGGGCCCTGGGACCGATGCGGTTTGGGGTAGACCCAAAAAACCCTGGGCCGCAACCCAACAACTGGCACACACAGCGACTTGATGCCTGCCTATTTCGGCAGCTCATTAGGCTCTCTCATCGTCTTCATGACAGAACCACCCTACGCCAACCTCAACACTTTGGCGTCGAGACGCCACGTCTTTTACACAACATCAGTGAGAGGTACAGTTCTTTCCTAGGGCTGAGGCTACATCCATTGGGGTGGAGCTTAGGACCTTCTGGTGACTACTTGGCATCATGACAGCTTCAGCCCTTTGGCGTCCTAACACCGCGTTTTTATGTCATGATTACATCACTCGTACTTAGACTGCCCCAACACAAGCGGCACACATGGCCAGCCTACATGTGCTTCTCTAGCCACCGATTCCTGGCCATCAAGAATCACTAACTGCTCTACTCTTGCGTTCCGCGGGCATGTACTCGTCGGGGGGAGGATTTTAAAGCTCAGGAGGTGGGGGGTGGGAGGACGTTTGCTCGCCAGTCTGCATACCGTCCCACCGTCCCCTTCAGCAGCATTAACTTAGTAGCGAGCCGTGTAGTTTGCGTCACTTACCTCGCGTGCAGGGTAAATGCCTCACAACCACAAGTTTACTAACCGAGGCGGCACTGCCAATAGAACTTAAAGTGCTGACTCGAAGATTTGTATACTAAGATTTATCTTGGGCTATCTTACTAAGGTCAGTGCCGTCCTCTTGGACCTGCCGGGCGCCTACTCGATCGGCTACTCTTTTCCTGGCCTCGTCTTCCCACGTTGCCCGCGGCGCCCCCCAAGTCTTTGTTTTTGTATGTGCCGAGTCGCGTACGTCTTCAGTCTGCTACCTTCAGGAACGCTATGGGTACTAGGAGGAGGAAAAGGAGGAGGAGGAGGAGGAGGAGGAGGAGGAGGAGGGGGAAGAGGAGGAGGAGAGCGGGGGTGGGGAACCAGCCCCGCCCGCGCGCCCCGCGTCCGTGTCCTGGTCCGGAGGCGGCGGCGGCGGCGTCCGCGTGGCCGCCGACCGGTCCAGCGGGAGGGGCGGCGGCTGCGGGCTGAACCCCGAGCCGGGCCTGGGCGCATCCTGGCGGAGGGGCGGGGCGCGAGCGGGGAGGGCGCAGGGCACTCGCCGCGGGCCTAAGTCAAAATTCCCCGACGGCGGCAGCGGCCAGCGCAGGAGCGCCCGCGCGCCCCCCCTCTGAGCTCAGACACCTCGAACAAAAATCCGCGTCGCGCCCACCTTCGCAGCGGAGGCGGCCTGCTACGCGCACTCCCGCCGCATCGGGGGGACTCCCCGCAAATATTGCCATGCCCATCCTGGGCCCAAGATCGGAGACCGTCGTCACCACTGGCTGGCCAGGGAAGCAGGGGACATACACCGGTCCTGGGCCCTGGATAGGCCCGGCCAGAATTCACAACGGCGAAGAGCTGACGCCCCCACGGCTTCTGCACCCGATCCCACTGGGCTTCCTCTCTGCAACTTCTGGCGCAATGGCGCCCCGAATCCTTGCTGACCGACACGCAGCTGCTGGATGACGCTGGCACGCGAGACCTCAGCGTGGCGAACCCATGCTCAGGAGGGAGGAGGAAGGACACAGGATGAATGGAAGTGATCATGGAGGGGGAGGGATAGAGAGAGGGGAGGGATTTCGAGGGAAAGTTGCTTGGTTGTTGGTTGGGCTGGCCAGGGGAAGGCAACGCATCGAGGCCACCAGGCAGGGGCCCGTTCTGCGAAGCTGAGCCGCGCAGGGTTTGCCTCCGCGACGGCTGCAGCCAGCAACGACCAATGGGGCGACCAGCGGGGGGATCCCGCCTGCCTCGCCCGGACCCCTCCCAGCCTCGCGATAGATCAAACAAAAGCAAGGGGAAGGGCAGCAGGCAAGAACGGGGAGGGGAGAGGGAAAGCGGGGGGGACGAGAAGAGGAAGAGGAGAGGGAGGCGGGAGACGGAGAATTACGATATTTGGCGGCGTGGAGGCGCGCTGCGTCCGCGATCGTCTCAAATCCTCCCGGCCGTGAGAAGACTGCACAGGCCTAATGCAAAAGAGGCTGATGTTTGAAACATTCGAGATATGCAGACCAGACACCAGCAAGCACGTTGATTGCAACACGGTGACCCCTCCCTGGGAGAAGCTCTTGGCTCCAAGGCGTCAGCGTCGTCGTCGTCGCCGCCGCCGCCGCGCCGCCGCCGCCGCCGCCGTCGTCGTCGTCGTCGTCGTCGTCGCCGTTGTCGTCGTCGCCGTCGTCGTCCCCCTTCAGGGTCGGCAACACCGCCCGTAAGGCCTTCGCAGTAGAACACAGTGACGAAGCTGGGAAAAAAACAGGAAGGCACTGAGTGAGCGGGGGGCGAGCAGGGCGTCAGGACAGGAAACGAAGCGAGTGGGAAAGACTGAATAGTTTCACGAGCGAGCGAGGAGGAGGAGGGGGAGGAGGAACCAAAGTGGACGAGGGAGTCTCGACGCACGGTCTCCATGACCTGCTGGGGCAAGGGGCCTGCGACACACGTTTCCTGGCATGCCAAGACAACTCATAGCAGGGGCCGTCGGGGCATGCCACGGCAAGGGGTTTCCCAGGAAGGCCTGCCTCGTCGCCAGCCCACCTCGGACCGAACCTTCGGCTGCTGAAAAAAGAGCTGCCAGAACTTCAAGAATCCGCAGTGCTCTTCGTTTACGCGGGCCACACTTCTTCACTGCGGGAGCGCGCGAAGGAGGCGCTGCACCTCCTCCGCCTTCTCCCCCGACTCACCTCCTCCCCTTTTTGTCCGCGCTCCTCCACCAGCTCCCATCCCCCCGCTCCCCCCCCCCTCTTATCTTTCCGTGCTGCCGCCGCTCCTCCTGCCACGAGGCGCCCCCCAGACGTCTGGCGCTCCGATGTGTTCGATTTGCGGCCCCGCAAGCCTCTCGACCCCGTCCTGAGCGGAGGGAAAGAAAACGCTGGCCATGACCAAAACTGAATGCGAAAACGTCGGCGTCGACCGTGGTCACCGCTCATCTTGGTCAGCGTCGATTCGTGGATCATCCTCGCGAATCGACGAGGTCTGGCATACGACAAAGGCCCGCGACATCGTGGTGATCATCACCGTGTTCCGCCCCTCGACCCAGTGCCGATCTTGCATCCGGAGTAGTCTCTTGACGGTCCCGAGGCCTGGTGACGGCCCCCACAGGCAAAAAAAGTAGCCACTCGTCTGGGCCAGGGGGAAAGGCCCCCCTGGAGGAACAAGACCTGCATGAAGTCGCCGACCCAACGGGCCACAGGCGTGCTAAGATCTCCAGTAACAGGTTAGCAGTGTTTCTAATTCACGCGCGCGTGGCGGCCCCTGGGGACCCCTGGACGAAAAATACCCCGGCCGATGCCCGACCGATGCTAGGCCAGGTCCCCCAGAGCCCAGTCGCCGAAAGATCGTTCTAAGACGCCCAAGATAGCCTCAATACGGCCCTAAAGGCCGCCAAGAAGCCTCAAGTGAGCCTCAAGCGGCTCTCCAAGAGGCCCCAGTAAGCAAAAATCGCCCCATCCCCTTCGAAAAACAAGTACATGTTTCGCAGAGACGACGTTTGCAGGTTCACAGCGTCCACAACTGCCCGAGAGGCCCTCAAGAATGCCCCCAGACGGCCCAACAGGCCCCAAGGATGAGCCCAAGAAGGCCCAAGAGGGCCTCAAGACGGCCCAAGAGGGCACCAAGATGACCCAAGAGGAGCCCAAGACGGCCCAAGACGGCCCCAAGAGGGACCCAAGAGGGGGAACTCGAAATGACATCTCAGTCGTTCCGCCCCACAGGCCACCTCCGAGACCGCCAGCAGGCCCTCAAGAAGACCCCAAGAGGCCCCAAGAAGTCCCCAAGAAACTCAAAAAGAGTGCCCGAGGATCCACAAACGGCTCCCAAGAGGCATCCATAGGCTTCCAAACTGCCCCCACGAGAGTTTCACAAGACGTCGACACATCTGCCGAAGAAGCTCCGCAACAGGAGCATTCTAAAATGACGCGACGAGGCAACAGAAATACTTCCCAGCGACGTCGTTCGGCCTCGACAACGATCCAAGAAGCCAGACAACTCCCCTAGTCTACTCCTCCTCTTCCTTACCGTCCCCGTATCCTCCCATCCTTCCCCTCTTTCAACATCACCCTCGTCCTCTCCTCCCCTCCTTCTCCTCTTTCACCCGTCCGATAACTTCCCAAGATGCTCCAGAAGCGTTCCATCATGCTGCGAAAAGCCCCCCACAGACTTGCAACATACGTCGAGCGAAAATGTTCGAAGACGCTCCAGGAGCGTTCACACATGCCGCCGACACCGGCGGGTCAACGACGGACCCACAGGAAGCAATTCCACGGCAACTGTTTCACCTGCGACGCTCACCACGCCCCGCCTCCAGAAAATGCCAGCCGCCCAGCGGCACAGAATTGACAACAGCTCTCACAAAGACGACAGCGGCGAGACGATATGGGCCGGCGGACTGAGCGAAGCGGTTGAATATAAATTGTTGGATCTCCGCTCGGATTTCTTAGATCGGAGCTGGAGCCCGCTGGCGGCGCCTCTGGCGCCGCTCCTGGCGCGCTCCTCGTGCCAGGGACGGGGGTTCAGCGCCGATCCGAGAATCCACGCGGAGCTCCAAAAGCTTGGGTTCATGCTGCTTTTTGTTCCTCCCCCCCTGCCTGCCCGGCTGGGCGCCGGGCGAGCTGGTGCACGTGCGCGAGTGCAGGTCGTCCAGCATGGAAGAGCCCTGCGGTTTCGAAGGCCCGCGCTCGCCGAGGTGGGCCATGCGGCGAGGCTCCTGGCGGGAGGGCTGCCTCCTTCACCCTTCACGCCGAAGGCACCTGTGCACCGCCACCACCACCACCATGCCCGGCCTGGGCCATGATGGGCCCTGGCACGGCGCATGGGCATTCCTGGCCGAGGCTGGGAGGGTTTGAATCTGTGCATCATGGTTCATCTTAGGGCCGTGCGCGGCCAGCCAGAATTCAAAAATGAAATTTGGTTTGGCACAAGGCTGTGCTTAGAATTATACCGTCAACATGCGGGACTTGAGTTGTACGTAGATTTACAGAGCAAGCGGTTCAGCATCAAATGACGTCGTCACCTGATCGTCGTCCAGGTGCACGCTGGACATAACGATGGTTTCGGGAAATGTCAGGCCAAAATGCGCCCACACTCCACGGAGCGGCCGTGGTCCCAGGGCATCGGCGGCCACCATCGCAGTGCGCCACGAAAACTGCATCGCATAACCGGCGACCCGGTGGCAGCTGAGACCCCTCGTGCCACTATTTCTTGGCATCTCGTGAGACGTTCGCGATGTGGTTAACACTGTGATTCCGGCTTTTCCACCACTCAGGGTCCTCGTCGTAATTACTGATGAGGACGCCATCCTTTGTCAAACAGGCGCGATCATTCTCGGAGGACCGAAACAATGCATGAAAAACAATTTTCAGATACATATATATATATACATACAAACATACATACATACATACATACATACATACATACATACAGACAGACAGACAGACAGACATACATACATACATATATACACATATATATATATATAGATATATATATATATATATATATATATATATATATATCCGCGCGGGGTTCTTGGGTCGGCGCTGACCCCCTCTCGACAGGGGCGACACCCGACGGGAGCTCAACACCGACCCAAGAAAAACGCGCGCTATTTCGATTGTCCATGTTTCTGTCACCTGGAGAGCGTTCTGAATGTTTCGCGATAAGGGCCGTGACTGGCCCCGGCCCTCCCCCACCCAAGGCAACGTCACGATTGGTGCTGACCTCCGAGTTGGCTTTGGCTATTCCTAGACATCCCCAGACGGCGCAAACACGAAAGGTGACGTTATCAGCCCCTCGCCCCCCTCCCCCCCTGCGCACGGTCACGCCCGCTGTCACCCGGTATGTGTGTATATGTATACATATACATATATATACATACATGTGCACATGTACATATACATAGTTGGTTATACACAAATATGCAAGATAGAAATGTACATATAGACACGTGCATATATATATATATATATATATATATATATGTACACACCTGTATCTATGTATATGTACATATATATATATATATAATGTACACTAGAACCATCGTGCGCGCTTCGCGCGCGCTCAGGTTCTCCCGAATCCCAACTCATAGTGAGATGCCGAGGGCTGGGCGACAGTTGCGGATCTGATTTTAGCCCAAATGCGCTACGGAAACACGTAGAGAAGAGCCCTTCACTGAGCACGGGGGACTCCAGGAGGACGACGAAGAGAACGAGGGGGCGTTTGGGAGGTCGAGAAAGGGGAGAAGAGTCCAGGAGCATGACTGTTCGCGTCTCAAACTCTGGGCAGCCTGTTGGAAACAATGGCTAAGCGCTTTGGGCCGCTTTCCGGGGCCTCTTTGGGGCCTCTTGTGGCCCTCTTGGGTCCTCTCGGGTGGGGTCCTTGGGGGCCTGCTGGCGATCTTTGGGGTCCTCGTGGGGCCGAAGCCATGGGCCGCATTCCCCCCACGAGCCCCTCTTGGGGCTTTCTGGGGCGGTCCTGGGTGCCTCGTGGGCCATCTTGGGGCCCTCTTGGGCCGTCTTGGGGCCCTCTGGGGGACCTCTTCGGCCGTTGGGGGGCTCTTCTATGGGCCTCTGGGCCCGTCTCGGACGCTGGGCACATGAAAACAACGATTACAATAGAAATGTATGCTTTCCCGCGGGAACGGGGCGATTTTGCCTCTTCAGGTTCTCTTGAGGGTCCTCTTGGAGCCGTCTTGGGGCATCCTGGAGGCCAGCTGGCGATCGTCGGGGGCCTCTTAGGGCGGAGGCCTCGCAATGTGGGTTCGAATTCCCCCGCGGGGATCCTGTTGGCGCCCTCTTCGGCCGCCTTGGGCGGTCGTGGGTGCCTCTTGGGCCGTCTGTTTCTCCCCCAACGACACAGGTGTCCATGGAGGACGCGCACAGACCAAAACATCATTCCTGTACGCTGTACACGGCTGGCCCCCAGGGTCTCCTGCCACGACTAAGTAAAAGAGACTAAAGCCAAGCATGTTATCGAAATCGCCATCGCTGAAGCTTACAACGGGATGAAGGGCGAACCCATCTCTCGCGGCGAATGTATGCTGCGTGAGTCCCTCTTGGCGCGTCATGGAGCGTTGAGCCTGGCTTGGGGCCCTCTTGGGGCCCGGTGGCCCCCTGGGGCCCCCTGAGGACTCTCTTGGGCCGTCTTGGAGCTCTCTTGCGCTGCTTGAAGCTCTCTTCAAGCCGTCTTGGGGCCCTCTTGGGGGCCTCTTGGGCCGTCTGGGCCGATTTGGGGAGCCTTTGGGGCCGCCGTGGCCGCAGTTAGGACTGAAAAAGCGAATATTCCAGAAATGCATGTTTTTCCATCGGAAATGCTTGAATTTTGCCGTTGGGGTGCCGCTCGCTCGGCGGCCTCTTGGACCGTCTTGAAAGAATCCTTTGGGGTCCTCTTGGCCCGTCTGGGAGACCATTTCGGCAGTGCCCCCCGGGCCCCCTGGAGACTCTCTTGGGCCATCTTGGAGCTCTGTGGTGCTGCTTGAAGCTCTCTTCAGGCCGTCTTGGGCCGATTTGGGGAGCCTTTGGGGCCGTCGTGGCCGCTGTTAAGACTGAAAGAGCGAATATCCCACAAATATAGGTCTTTCCATCGGAAATGCTTGATTCTTGCCCTTGGGGGACCTTCTCGGCGGCCTCTGGGACCGTCTGGAGGGCCTTTGTGTCTGTCTAGGAGCAGTCTTGGGCTGTCTTCGGGCGCCCGTGGGCCGTCTTGAGGCCACCTCAGTGCGCTCTTCGGCCATCTTCCAGACAACCTGGGGCGCTTTGGGAGCGTCTTGGGCCAGCTTGGGGGCCTCTGGGGGGTCCGGGGCGCCTTCTGGGCCCTCTTGGAACCCTCAAGGCCCGAACCGCCATGCGAACCAGGGGTCGTGGTTCCGAGCCCTCGCCCGGCCTACTCCTATATATCTATTTATATATATATATATATATATATATATATATATATATATATATCCAGAGTAATTCGCCGGCCCAACGGGCTAGAGGCGTGCTAAGATCTCCGGTAACTTGTTAACAATATTTCTAGTTCGCGCGCGCGGAGCGGCCCCTGGGGGCCCCCGGACGAAAAGTACCCCGGCAAGGTCCCGAGAGAAGCCCGGGAGAAGCCACCAGACCACTCCAGGGGAGGGTATTTTTCGACACCCCTCACGAGGATCGTGGCCTCCGAGGGGGGAGCCGCAATCGACTACCCCCAAGAGCCCCCCAAGAGGCCCTGGGGGCCTCCAAAACGCCGCCAAGGAGCCCCAAGAGACTCCCAAGAGGTCCCCAAGAGGCCCCCAAGAGGCCCTAAAGAGGGCTCCAGGGCCGGCGGCATGAGCGAAGCGATTAATAAGAAACATTAATAATAATACTCATGACGGGCCAGAGGCGTGCTCAGATCTCCGGTAACTGGTTAACAATATTTCTAGTTCGCGCGCGCGGGGCGGCCCCTGGGGGTCCCCCGGCGAAAAGTATCCCGACGCAGCCCGACCAGGTCTACTCAGAGATGGTTTTGAGGGCGTTTTTTCGACACCCCTCACAAGGATCGTGGCCTCCGAGGGGGGTGCACTCGACTACCCCGCCCCAAGAGGCCCCCAAGAGCCCCCCAAGAGGAGGCCCAAGGGGGCCCCAAGACGCCGCCAAGGAACCCCAAGAGACCCCCAAGAGGCCCCCAAGAGACCCCTAGGCCCCAAAGAGGCCCCGAAGAGGCTTCAAAGAGGCCCCATAGAGCGATCGAGGGCTGGCTGAATGAACAAAGCGATTAAATAATAATATGTAATAGTAACACGAATGATAATAATAATAATAATAATATTCAAACTAATAATAATAACAACAACAATAATAATAATAGCAATAATAATATACGAATAATAACGATGAAATAAAAAAAAACAATAATAATATTGATAATGGTAACAAGAATTATGATAAGAATAAAGATGAAAATAATGGTAATAATAATGGTGACGCTGATGATGATAATAATGAAAATGCTCAGAATAATAAGAATACGAAGAAGAATAATCAGAATGATTCGGATGATGGTGAAAGTAATACTGGTAGTACTACTATTACTACGATTACTAAAAATCAGGATAACAACAACCTTAACAATGATAACAAGAATACGCATAACGACACTGATCACCATGGAAATAACACTAACATGAATTACAACAGATAATAAAACACTAAAACAGAACAACATATATATATATATATAAAGCTAATAGTGATGCGAATAGTACTAGCTGTGAAAATAAATGATGACAGTGCGAATGATAGTAAATGATAACAGACAAGACAATACAAAACAGGTCCCGCGCTGAAAGCACCTACGCGGGTGCAACGGGTGGGCGCAGGAGCGCGTGTACAGGATGGGCTGGCAGCTCAAAATGCTGGAATTGTGGAATTGGGAGCCGGGTCAGACGGATAAGGCCGGGCATCGTCGCTAGTCGGAGTCGGAGAGAGGAGGGCTGGAGTCGGAAAGGTGGGAGCGGGCATCGAAAATAGGATCCAAAGTTGGATAAATTGGGCCTCAGAATCCGGAAATTCAACACAAAACCGTAAACTGGATAAGTCCACCATTCGTCTGGTACGGGATGGGACAGCCGCCCAAATGATACATTCGGGATCTTTTTGGAACCGGTGTCGGAGGTTCCAGAGTCGGAGAGGTAGGAGCCAGAGTCGGAGAAACGGGATTTGGGCAAAATCGGGGCCGGAATCCGAG